TTTAATGTTTACTTGTGCTTGGATGTTCGTTTTCATGGTAACTTGTAAAGTATTAATTTTCTATAAACCTTCAGTCTATTAAGTTTTCCCTGCATTTAAGACAGTCTATTGTATCCTGCCATCCACTTGACCTCCTCACCACATGAATCTCTGTTCCTGTATTTTTCCCTTCTTTGACATTGTTAATATTTTTATCTTTAATGGCCTCACAGGTCCTCTGAATTCATTGCTGTAATGTTGTTCTGTTCTGAACTCTGCTATCTGTTGCCTGAGTTCCAGGTGATGTTGCCACATCTGTCAATCTCTGGTTGTTGTCTGCTTTTGCTGGTTTTCATTCCAAAGAACTTCCTTTAGGATGTTTTGAAGCATTGGATTGGCTTTGACAAAATTTCTTAGCTTCTGTTCATCCTGGAATGTTTTGATTGTACCATCATATTTGATTGACAGCTGTGCTGGACAGAGGATTCTTGGTTAGCAGGTTTTGTTTCTTTTAGGGTTTTATATATGTCTCCTCATTGCCTTCTTGCCTGCATGGTTTCTGCTGAGACGACAGAGCTTAATCATATTTGCTTGCCTTTGTAGGTAACACTTCTCTTTTCCTGGCTGCTTTTAGGATTCTCTTCTTGTCTTTGATTTTGGAGAGCTTGATTATGATATGTCTTGGTAATTTTCTTTTGGGGTTTACCTTTCTTGGGGTTTGTTCAGCTTCTTGAATGTTTATCTTCTCATTCTTCAAGATGTTAGGAAAATTTTCTTCCAGAAACTCTTCAAGTATCTCTTCCGTGGACTTCTGTGATTCTTCCTGTTCTGGAATGCCAATAATTCTTAAGTTATTCCTCTTCATGTTATCCAGCATGAATCATAGACACTCTTCAGATTTTTTTAATCCTTTTTCTTCTATCTCAGCAGTATTGAGAAATTTGTCTTCCAGCTCACTAATTCTGGTTTCCATATCTTCCATTCTGCTCCTTTCCCCTTTCAGTGTATTGTCCATTTCTGATATTTTATTATTAATCATCTGGACTTCTTTTTGCAGGTTTTGGATTATTTCCAATGCTGTATCTTACTTGTTTGATTGCTCCTGTAGCACTTTCCTGACTTTTTCCTTGTTTTTCTCCACCCATTTTAGAACATTTGAATTTGTTTCCATATTATTCTTCTGAATTCCTTCTCAGGCAGATCCAGAGTCTGCTTTTCTACTGGAAAGTCTGTGTCTCTTCCAGCTCATTTTTCTCAGTTACTTTTTTCTGGTTTTGGACATGTGTTGAGATCTTTAATTTTGTTTTCTTGGACGTTTTTAAGAGTTATGTGAGTTTTTAATGCTACAGTGGATATATGTTGCTTTGTTATTAAGCTTACTGAGCATCTCCTGGTGCATATGATCTGGAGCTACGCTTCCCTTTTCATGTATAATGCCTAGCAGCTGGTTTTGGCTTTTGTCCAGATGGTGGGGTATTACAAGTTATGTTTGTAGCTTGGCTATATGAGCACAGTTACTGTCTCTTCTTGGGTAAGGTAGGGGGAGAAAACTCCAACCTCTGGGACAAGAGTGAGGCCAAAAGGACCAAAGACAGAAACCATCAATCAAAAACAAAATTGTGATTGACTGTCCACTGGCCTTTGCTGTGCAGGCAGGGATAAAGGATCCTGCCCAGGTCAACTTGGGGCTGGGTTCCAGAGTCAAGCATCATCAGAAGCAGCCTGTGGGTTTCCTCTCTGTGCCGTTGGACAACTGTGGGTGCAATGCTGAGCCCTTTTGAGGGTGTGCTCCCACCTGCCTGAAGGCATCTGGGCTGGGCAGTGAGGGCATGATTGGAGTGAAGAAAAAAGATAAGTGAAAAAAATGGAGAAAAATCGGTCACACCTCTCCCTCCAGACATGCAGTTCCACAGCTTCTGGAACTGGGTCACTACCTCCAACCTCAGGATGTTGGCTGTTGGATCAATTCAGAAATTACCATAGTTTGCTTCCACAGGCAGATTTCTTCACAGGTGGGCATGGGAAACTGGCGCCCGGAACCTTAAACAAGAGTCAAAGTTCCATAGCTGTTCTGCAGATGACTCTTTCTCTGCTTTTTGGGGGCTTTAGCAGAGGAGCTTTCAGTATCTGTCTCTGCTTACCCGCCCCCAAACCAGAAGTCTGTTAACTTTGTCTTCTAGAGCTGACCTTTGAAATTTTCTATTCAGCTCTAACACCTCCTCATGTCTTCAAAATGCTTTAACATCTCTATGCTGGAGAACAAATTTGAGAGTCTCTTTTGACATCCATTTTGGTCATTTCCTCCTTCTCAATAACCTTTTGCTTTCTTCCTGTATGATGTCCTTGATGTCATCCCACAATGCTTCTGGTCCTCAATCTTTAGTGTCTAATGCATCAAATCTATTTTTCAGGTGATGTCTAAATTCATGTGGTATATGTTCAAGGTCATATTTTAGCTCTCGTGGACTTGATTTAATTTCTTTCAGCATCAGTATGAATTAGCATATGAGCAACTGATGGTCTATTCCAGTCTGCTACTACAGTCTGCTACTGGTCTTGTTTTTCTGATTATATGGAGTTTTCCACCATCTTTTTCCACAGATATAGTCAATTTTGATTTCTGTGTATTTCTTCTAGTGAGGTCCATGTGTATTATGGTCTTTAATGTTGTTTTTAAAAGGTATTTGCAATGAATAATTCATTGGTCTTACAAAATTCTATCATGTGATCATCAGCATCATTTTTATCACCAAGTCCATATTTTCCAACTATGGATCCTTCCTCTTTGTTTCCAACCTTTGCTTTACAGTTGCCAGTAATGATCAATACATCTTGATTGCATGTTGATTACTTTCAGACTAAAGAAGTTGGTATAATTTTTCAATTTCATCATTATTTTTAATGGTTGGTGTATAATATTGAATAATAGTGGTATTAACTGGCTTTCCTTGCTGGCATATGGTTGTTACCCATAGTTAGTTGGTTCAAACTCTTCACCCAATCCTCAAGAGACAGATGTGGCTGTCTGCTTCTGTAAAGATTTTCATCCTTGAAAACCCTTTCATATAGTTCTGTCCTGTCCTAAAGTTTTGATATGAGTCCAAATCCACCATAATGTGTTTTGTTTTTTCTTTTGCTTTTCAACTACATTTTGCTGACAATGGTGCATGAAATGAACTTGTGCTGTGGGGAGACACAGGTCAGTGCACATATGGCTTGGGTCCTAGTAGATATCTGTCCAGAAACAGAAGGCCTCTTGGTCTCTGAAGTGGTACTTCAGAGATTCATTTGAGAAGGGATGCAAATAAGCATAACAAGTCTTCCTGTCTCCTCTTGTTCAGCACTAAGAAGATACATCAAGCAAGATGAAAAGAGTCTTCTATCTGTCCAGTTTACCAAGTCCACACTATGGTTTGAGAATAGACACCCCACAGCCTTCGAATAAAACATTCATCTGTCTTTTATTCTCCACACTTACATTTCCTGCAGTTCAGATGTTGAGTACAAAGGTTTAATATTTCTTAGCACCCAGTCTATCCTATGCCATTCCTATATCTTTAATATCACTAAATCTCACTATTGCTACCTTTTAAGTCTCTAATATATGTCCTGGTATGGCACTGTACAATAAGCACTGGACTGCAAGGTCAGTTTGAATGCAAGGCCAACAATTCAAACTTACCAGCTGCTTCTAGGAAATCATATGCAGGGTCACTATGTATGAGTTTTAACCAACTTGATGGCGTTTAACAACAATTTATGCAATGGGAGTATGATGACTCTATAGGATAAACATCGGACTGTGAACCACAAGGTTGGCAGTTCAAGCCCACCAGCCACTCTGAGAGAAAGATGAGACTTTTTGCTCCTGCAAAGATTTAAAGCCTAGGATACTCTAAACACAGTTGCTATGAGTCAGAAAAACTCTTAACAATTAACAATAAGAACAATTTATGAGATGGACTTTCTTCTTTAGGAGTTCTATGTTGAAGTAGAACTGATGCTACTATTAATAAAACCACATCATAATGTTTCATTGACATTCAAGCACTCTATCCAACCCTCATACAAGCAAACATTTTATTATTATTCCAAAGCAATGCCTTTCATGTGCAAAGGAGAACCTCAGCATTTTGCCATCCACCTCAATTCCTCAGAACTTATCTTCCCCATAGGCATTGCTTGTTGTTAAGAGCTGCCGAGTTGGTTCCGACTCATAGTTTCCCAGGTTTTAAATCTTTGAGGGAACAGAAAGCCTTATCTTTCTACTGTGGAGTAACTAGCTAACTCGAACCTCAATCCTTGTGATTCACAGTCCAATGCTTATTGTATGGCACCACCCCACTACCTCCCTACAGATATAATCCACTTATTTTGTAAGGAACACTTACTTACTCTAATGACTAAAAAGTTAATTTCTATCAGTTCTCATGTCCACATTCCACCACTTCAAAGGTTCACAGGGAGGAAGTGGGATAAGTGATGTCACATTGTGAGTATTGCATTCAATGACATGAAACAAAATGTGCATGAATTGTTGAATGGAAAACTGATTTGCTCTGCAAACCTTCATCCAATTTACAATAAGAAGGCTTTTTAAATTAAATAATTGTTAAAGGCTAAACCTTGTTAACTCTCCACAGTAATTGTTGCTGCCAAATGTATTTGTCCATTCATTCCACAAATACCCATCAAGAGACTACAATGGCCATCTACTATGAGGAGAAAAAGGTTGACAAGGCAATCTACCCTGCCCTGAAAAGCCATAGACTCTATTTCTGTACATAGTGATCCATGGAGGGCAGAGATTAAACAGTGTTTTCCTAGTTGTTTTTCTGGTACTGGAAAACATTTTGTTCGTGTGTTGCATTCTTTGTTGTATAAAAGCCAAAAACTGCAATGAGCTTCCTTCTTTATGGTGAAATTTTAAAAGGAAAGAAATTCAGAGAACTTTATTACTCAAAAGTAGCCATAATTTCACTTTAAAATCCAATGGAATCTCTTTTTTCCTCTCCCCACAGGATAGTGGCTAAAGCCTCTAAGAACCTTATGTCCACACAAAGTTTAGGGATCGTATTTGGACCTACCCTTCTGCGAGCTGAAAACGAGACGGGGAATATGGCAATACACATGGTATACCAAAACCAGATAGCTGAGCTCATGCTGAGCGAGTACAATAAGATCTTCGGTTCAGAGGAAGACTGACAGACAAGACAAGTTACTGAGTATGTTCACATCTGTCTTGGTGCCTAATATTTTTACATTTCTGTAAACATATTTCAGAAATATTTTTTTTCCTTTCAAGTGACAGATGCCTCATTTTGTGAAAACTTAATGATGATTTTGTGTTTAAGTTCCAAACATTTGAATAAAATAATTGACAATATTTACCTATATGTGTTCTACATTAACCCCTTCAGTGCTATTCCTTCTAGCATTTCTGGGTGCAAATAATGTGCAGAGTGCAGCACATATCTAAAAGATAACTTTAATGCTGATCCTCAGCATTGTGTGTGTGCGTGTAAATGTGGGAGTGGGAGTCAGTGTGAAGGAGAGTGTGTGCATGTGGACACTCCTCTATTCCTTCTCACTGTCCATAGCCCCTGTTCAGGTCCCCAGACTCCTCTTTGCACACGTGTGCGACCACACGTGTGCAACCAAAAGAATCTGGAAGGCAGAAGCTAATAACTTAAAAATAGAATAGAGGAGATCAAGTTCTCAACCAAAACAGACATATTTAAGAATGTGTAAATATAGTCCAGCTATTCTTGGTGTTATACAGTGGAAGCTATATAAACAACATGTTGAATGGCAATTTTTCCAAAGAAAAATGACAGTTCAAAACATTTACCATTGAATACGGCTTTTAAGAAATCATATTTGCAGTCCCATAAACATAGTATCTTTTAAATTAGAAGCAAAATGAGTGACCTGCCATTCTGATCCTTACATTATACAGTAATTATATGATTGCTCATTTTTAATGCCAAAATCCATTTTGAATCTTCATCAAACTGTACCTTTTCCTTTGCCCTGACTATATCATCTTATGTAGAATTTTTATTATACTTTGAGGAGGCCTTATTGATATATTACATTAAATCTAGCTAGAAATAAAAAAACTTTTTTAAAGGTTTATTTTCATATGCCCTAAAGATTACCTGACAAGAATTCAATTGGTTTATCCATTAGATGGCAGCGTCAGTTGTCATAGATAAACAAAAGGGTATGTCAAACATCGTTTTATTTTGAAAAGTGTGTTCTAACTGAACACATGCAGGGTTTTGTGAAAGTGTTCTGCTGATAAAAATGTAGAGTTATATTTGACAGCTTTTTTAATCAAATTGAAACGGAATAAATAAAACTAATCCAGTGCAATAAAGAGTAAGTCTAGTTATCGATTTGTTCATAAAATGAAAAATAAAGCATGTAAATAAAACGTGTGAAACACGGATCCAAGAGCAAACACTGAGAGCAATGATGAGCTCAGAGGCACAGGCTGTCTACACAGGAGAGGGCAAGCATCTGCTCAAGAGATGGCCAGAGTGTGCTTGCATTTCCAGCATCCGCAGAACTGCCTAAGGACGAAGAGTGTGCCCTTGCCTCTCTTGAATGTCTTCATTTTGGCAATGGTGCCAGTAAATGGGCTCGTATCCAAAAACAGAGAAGAAACCACAATAAAGGCTGAAGTGTGGTTAAATCAAGTAGGACATATGTACATACAACCAAGCCAAGAAAAGTCATTTGAAGCAAAACCCTATGATCTAATGTCATAGATAATAGTGAGCTAACCAACCTACCAGCTTAAAATTCTTCCTACAAGTCAAGTTGCACTGATACCTTTAATGAAGATACAGACATATGAAAAAAGATTCTCCTATATCCTCATTTCCATAAGGCTCCATATTCTCTAGTATGTCTTTCCCAAGCCTTTAATTATTTACCTTTTTGAAGGAGGGAGGCATAGACAGCAGTTCTAGGATTTAAATCTCATTTTTTCATACATATTCATCTTGAAATCATTATGTAAGCACCAGCCCAAGAGGAGCAGCACTAAAAGCCAAAGAAAAGTGGCCTTACCTGCTCTGAGCAGGGACTCACAGTCCTGTATCTCTGCAGCTTTCCAAATTTGTAATCTTCAAAAGCACCAGCTCATGATTTTCAATCTGATGGGATTTGGCCTGATACAAACCCCACCTGTGTCCTGTCCCTGCCTGCTAAGACTGTTTAATCAGAGAATGTGTTCCCTCTCTTGAGAAAGACCATCCCAAAATCCTGAGCCAAATTACTCATCACAGGACCTGACTTGTATACACTATAAGGCACAAAAAGGGTTAAGCCAAAAGGTCATTAGATTCTATTACATCTCAAAGATGGCAATGATGGTCATCTTTGAGTAACTGTTCCAATTTTTTAAAAAGTCAAGTTTTTAAGCATACTAAGTCAATTCAATAAGAAGTTAGATTTTATTAAATTTATCAATAGTCATCATCAAAAAGATACAAAAAGTCAATGAGCATTTTTAGTTACCTAGTTTGAGCAGTCACAATTCTATACACCTGTGATGTAAGCATAAAGCCAGGCAAATATCCCTATCCTTTGCGGCTTCACAGTCCAATGAATCCATAGTCCCCAAATTACCTAAGGATTAGTTACAACTCTATACAAGATCGGAAACCTTATCCATCTTGGTCACCACATGGGCCAGAGCCCAGCACCTACACATAAAGATTCTCAAGAAATGTGTTTGTTTTCATGAATAAATGAACAGAAGTGATTACGAAGATATTAACAAAATTCAGTGGTTAACATAAATAGACTCAACTGGAAGTTCTTGGAGGAGTCAGCTGAGGCATCATTGGGGAGGTGGCTTATTAAAATTTAATCTTGACCAACAAGTAATTTTTACCAGGCCAAGAAAACACAGACAACATATTAGGAAGCAGGAATGGCATGAACAGAGTTGTTACAGGCTCAACATCTCCAAGGGAAAATGAGGAACTTGGTCAACAGATAAACAGTGCATACCATGCAATTTTTAAAGATGGAGCTAGGAAAAGATGCTGAGCGGTCATCTGTAGTCTAAGATTAAAATGTTAGGATTCTATAGTGCACTCAAAAGAGATCTCATGAAGGTTTCTAAATAAGTAAATGATATAGGAGATAAAAACTCATTTGAGGAGACAATCATTTTTAACTCCTGTATGTGTTTCAAGCTTTCCTTTCTCTCTCTCTCTCTCCCTCTCTCCCTCTCTCTCTCCCTCTCTCTCTCTCTCTCTCTCTCTCATTGTCAACAGTTTCCAAGAATAAAATTTAAGTTTTGTAATGTTAAAACCATTTCTAATATTATTATAAGCAAACATTTTAAGAAGTTATAACATAAGTTATAGAATGAAAACACATGTCCAAAATAGTTTCCCTGGAAAAACAAGTTGTTGGTATGTTTTATTTCAACATAAATTTACTCCCCCAGGACCTGAGAAGTTGTCCCCCTCTCTTGTTCACAGAAAAGACTTTTTAGAAATGGTATTTATTCCATCTATATGTTGAAAGTCTGACAATACTCAGTGACCGTATGACAGGATCACCATGCTACAGCTAGTAATTGAAAGCCATATGATGGTTCTCTCTATCCAATTAGAAAACAAAGGATCCAATTAAGAAAAATTAGAAAAGCTGTTAAAAAGAAACAATCACTTGCCAATGGTACAATGCTTACAGTTTAACACAGCTAGAAATTGACCTATACTTCTCTTTTCCACATTTATTCTTTGTGAATTATAAGTTAATCACCCTGTCAATTCCTAATTAAAAGGCCTTGCAAAATTTTTCATCCAAAAGGACTGTCACTAATAATTCTAGGTCAAATTGCTCTGTTGTCAAAAATGAGAAAGAGAAAAAAACAAAAACCAAAAAAAAACAGAACAACACAAAAAACAGCAAAACAATGTCAACTCTCTCCTGGATAATGCATATCTTAATACAGAAAGCAAAGACTTCCTTCAAATATAATAATTATATTCTATTTCTTCAATTAAATGTTCCATTTATCTTTAGAAAGTAGATGAATCTATTTTTCTTTTTCTTTAAACAAATGATTGCGAACCAAAATAATTGCTGGGGCCAGGCAAGCAACATAAATGAATAAAGAGAATTACATTTAAGACATGAAGTGGAGGCAGGGAAAGAAACTCCAACTCAATGTCTACCCAAAAGGATCAGCTTCTACTCTGCTCAAACCCATTCATTGTATGGAAATGTACATACAATGATGCCAGATCTTCAGATCTTTCAGGAAATCAAATTCAGAATCCTACTTGAAATGTCCTGGTTTTTAAGGACACCAAATAAAATGCATTTGAGTCAAAACTCAGCCAACAGTCTCCATTTTTGTGATCTTTGAGTCAAATTTTCAGAAGTTGTAAAAACTAAATCTAGGTCTCAGATTTAATAAATAGAATAATATCTGCCTTATCTTGCCTCTCAGGATTATGAAATCTAATAGGATAATGGAATCACGTGAAGGAAATTATAATAGGTAATACACCATAAAGGTATAAATGATCCCTCAAGGATGTAGATAAAATGTCTCCAGTTTATTAACTGACAATAACTTTGTGTTTTCGGTATAAGATCAGAACGAGGCTGGAATCATATACTAAAACACTTTGACTGACATACTAAGATGTTCGAGATTCTGAATATTTTTAACAGGACATTTCCTTAATCAAAGCTATAAAGATTCTCCTGGAAACATGGAGGGTATAGTTTAAAGCAAGGGTCAATTAGAGCCACTGCTGCCAGTCAAATGTTTATTGCCCTTATGGTGTTGATTAAGGTCTACATTCACACAATTGATTGTTGGTTGTTAAGTGCTGCTGAGTCATTCACATTTATATAATAGCAGCAAAAATATTATGCAGTGTCATTCTATGGATCTCATGTGAACTTCCATCACCATTTCTTAATTGTGACTGCTAAGTACAGAGCACCATTTGCTGTTATATCGAATACCTTATAGCTAGCTCATTTCTGGCTGAACTGTGGGTTCATTCTGGTATTCCGGCAATGATTTGGTATTCAACAGTAGCCATCTTAAGAAACTGTAACCATAGGAATTGAAGGGAAATTCCTCAACATAATTAAGATCATACATACAAAATCAACAGCTAACATCACTCTTAATGGAAAGAAACTGAAAGACTTCCCCTTGCAAAAAGGTACCAGACAAGGATGCCCTTTATCACCATTCCTATTCAATACTGTTTTGGAAGTTATAGCCAGAGTGATAAGGCAAGATAGGGAAGTTAAAGGCATCCAAATTGGGAAAGAAGAAGTAAAACTGTCTATTTGCAGATGATATGGTCCTATACATAGAAAACCCCA